TGAGTTCTCCAGGAACACCTTGGAAAATGCTGAAGAACTCCGACACAGAGAATTTGGAGAAATTGCACTCCAATACTACCTTGACAAACAAACAAAGGGTAAACAAAGGGTAAAATAAGACTAAAAACTTAACGTTTAAAAAGTGACATTTTTATGAGCTCCGAGTCACCGAGAAAACTTGGTCAGATGTTAGCAGCTTACTTCCCTGAGGAGGATGGAAGCGTTACATACGTAAGGTTCAAAAACAACGAACCTGGAATTGCGTACCAAATTCGCAATTACATGACCATGGAAGAGTACGAAAGGTTCTACAAGAGAAACCAGCTCTAAACAACTCAGAAAAGAAAGAGTAAAAAGTTTAACTCGTAATTGTTTATTTTTTTACTTGTATGGGCAAGCTGCAAGAATGAAGTCGACTATCTCGGTCTTGTCTTGACCAGTTGGACTGCTCTTGCGAGTACGTCTGTTTTACGGTCTCCAGCTGGTGTCTGACCTTCGTAATTGCGCATGTTCTTGAGAGCTCCAACTGTAAATGGTTCTAGGATGAAGAAGTCTCTCAGACTGCTTGAGGTAGTCTTCACGGTCACGAACCGAATCTGTGGTACGAGTCGAATCGGTCGATTTGAGGGAAGAGAGTGAGAGCCTGTCTTCTTCCATTGGGGTAGTAGCATACTCTTTGCGTAAGCGGTTCAGACCTTCCTCGAACTCTTGGTCTCTCTTGGATTGAGATTGGAATTGTGGGGCAGGGTTTTGCATAAACATCCAAGGGTTTGGGGAAGTAAGGCATAGGCTGAGGAGGAGGGTAGTTCGGGAAGCCTTGTGGTGGGTAGTAACATTGAGGTGGAAATTGGTAGTAAATCGGAGGTACTTGCTGGAACTGAGGTTGCTGAGGAGACTGTTGTGGTTCTGCAGCTTTTCGGTTCTTCTGGTTGGGATATGGGCTCGGTTGGTGGGACGTCGACATCTGTTTGTGGCTTAACCGTCGGAAGGAAAAACCTTTCCTGTCGAAGGAAAAACCTTTCCTGTCGAAGGAAAAACCTTTCCTTCGGAAGGAAAAACCTTTCCTGTCGGAAGGAAAAACTTTTTCTGAAGTTCGACCAAAAGTTCTCAATTTTCGAAAATTTGAATGGTTTACGGACGGACAACTGGAAGAGTTCTTCCTGTCGTCGGGAAATTTTTTTTCCAGTTGTCGGGAAAATATTTTCCTGTCGGATGGAAGGACTCGGAATACCAGAAGGATTTGACGAGGCAATTTACCTTATAGAGATAAATGAAGTTGTTAAGCAGTACTTGCGCAGGGTAATGAAGCCCAAGGTCAAGTTCACCACTATTTCTGGAAGGTCTACACTTCAGCTCGAGACTTCGACTGGAATTCCAATTCAAATACCAGACGGGACAGCCTACGATGGCATAAAGGACGCCAAAAGAGAAGCTCTTGTTAAGTTCCTAAACAAACGTCCTTGGATAAAAATACCAAACAAGGAGAACCCCCTACCCCATATGAAATTGGCAATTCAGTCTCTCCTTCACTTCTCGGGTCAGCCGTTCTACATAACCTGTGAAGGCGACATCCAACCAGTTCAGTCAACCTTAACGTTTTGAGTAAAAACATTTTTTTCATTTTTTGAATGAAGCAAGTTAAATTCGTCCCACACCAATCTCAATGGACCGATGAAGAGTTTCAAGCTATGGTTGAAGACGTTGAGAACGACATAGACGGCGAACTTGAAGGAGCTCAAACCACAATTGCAACCAAAATTGCACAAGTCAAGGAACAGATAGCTCCACTTAAAGCTACCAAAGCTACTCTTGACCTCATGGATAGTTACCGTTTAGATGTCAAGAGTGGAATAAGACATTTAAAATTAAAACTTCTAAACTACGAAGCTATACTCCAAAAGTTAGCAGAAATGAGAAGACTTTACCAGAGCTACTTACATGTAAGGGACTTACCTTCAAGCAGTCCGACCAAAGATGAATTTTCTGACATTGTCCCAATTTTGTCCGAAAGTCAGCTCAGATGTTTTGAACTGCTCCCAACATATCCAGAATATGAACGTTTGCCTGAACTCTTCCGCAATCTCAAAAAACGTTTTTTGGTTCTCATGTTCGAAACTTTTATCGGAAGAGACAACAAACGTTCAGAAGAAGAACAAGATATTATTTTAAACTTGTTGTATGACTTAACCGTCATAACAAGCTTTTTGAAGTAAAACCGTCATTCTCAAACCACTTCATTTTTTCGATGTCCGAACAAGCACCGAAGCCGAACACAATGGCAGATGTCCTTTCAATGTTGCCAGACAAGCGCCCAGTTCAAATTCAAATTTTGAATTTGAAAGCTCATCTGACAAACACCGTTAAGACTCTCCAAAGTAGTCTTATGGAAGAGATGAAGGGACTTAAAGGTGAGTTCCTCATGAACCAAGCTTCCAATGAGAAATGCCTGAATGATTTGACGGAAACCTTGCGCATTTACGCGAGAGAGAACCGAGACCTTGCCAGACTCATCTACCGTTTCTTCGAAGAGATAGACGCCATCTGGAAGGTACTCGGAAAGGACAGAACCTCCAACACCGTAATTCGTGAGTACCAAATTGAAGAAGGAATTTTCGAGGAAGAAGAGAAACACGAAGAAGAAGAGAAACACGAAGAAGAAGAGGAAGAAGAGAAACACAAAGAAGAGGAAGTTTGGGCAACCCTTGTTGCCGATGACACTTACGAAATTTCCCAACCCTACCCATATCAAATCCGCAACAAGGAGACAGGCAAGGTTCTTACCCCAGTCCTCAACAACTTGGGACACTTGAACCTTAACCTTCGGAATCGCGGTTCAATCTCCATGGGCAAGCTTGTCGCAATTCAATGGGTTCCAAATCCAGACAAGAAGACGAGGGTCAGACACATTGACGGTGACAAGCTCAACAACCGTAAGGAGAACCTCGAGTGGTTCTAAGAGTAAAAAAATTTTATTTTAGGGGAAACCCCGAGTAAATTTAGGTGTTTAGTTCATTAAGTGGGTTAAATTAAGGGTAATTTGGACAATTAGCTCCCGACCTCTGAATTGGACTCTTTCGTCATCCCAGTTGCCTAGGAGGTCGTCCCAGAGGAGTTGGTAGAATTGCCAATCCAAGGACGATTTGTCCTCCCAGGCATTGAGGATGTACTGCTCGTAGAGTTTCATGACCTCTGCCTTGCACCAGACACCCTCTCCCTTGGAACGTAAGGCTTCTTCGAAGTGCTCGAATGCGATTGGCTGCGGGACCATCTGAAATGACACTTTTTGTCCGTTTGGTCAATGTTCGTGTCTCGTGTCATAGTCGACGAAAATACAAACAAACAGGTTATATATGAGTTTGAGACCAAGAATGGTGTAACTCGACCTGTCCGATTCAAATTCGAATAAAAATTTTTTACTTCATGCAATGTTTTATTTCTGTGCCGTCTTCAAGTATGCCCCAGTACTTACGCTTGGAGAGGACATGAACTTCGGTGAAAATTTTGTCCAATTTGAATTGACCCATCTTTTCACCGACCATGCCCATTTCAATGAGTTTGTTATAGCCTTCTTCGTTCGTCATGAGTGCATCGATGTTCTCATAGTAAACCTTCACTTTGGATTTGACTTCCGAGAAGAATTTGTTGTAGTTGTCAAGGACTGCCTTTGCGAACTGAGGGTAAGACCAATGTTCGACAATAGGTTTTAATGTGGTTACTAAGCCACTTTGACCTTGAGTGAATTCGTACTTCAAAACAAAAGGAGAAAACCTTTCAACAAAGTTGTCGACCTTCTCATAATGTTTACTCTTCATCTCTTGAGGTTTCTTTATGGAATATCCCCATGTCGAATTCATAAGCAATTTGAGTGTCATTGCAAGTTTGGGGTTTGAAGCTTTCCTAATATCATACAGTTGTTGTATGACTTTTCCAACTGTATAGTTCCTTCCTGGGAACTCACCGTCTTCGTTTGGAATTCCAGTCGGGATATATTGGACAAACCTCATGTATGCAGCGTTAAGGTCGACATAGTATATCTTTTCATATGAGTCGAACTTGTCGCAACCAATTGGTCCAGTTTGTGGAAATTCAAGTGAGTCTCTTATCTTCTGAGAAACTTCTCCTGTTATCTCATAAACATCGTCGAAGCAACCTGTTTCATATAAAACCTTCTGACCTAACTCAGATGCTCTCCAATACAATTTGACGTCAATTGGATTTCTCAATGGAAGTTTGTTTATAGCATCTTGAAGTTCTTGCAACCTCATTGGAAGTTCTTCTGGTTCAGGTTGGTATCCGAACAATCCAACTCCTTTTGGAATTGTGTACTTCTTTTGTACTAGAACTTTGTCTGGAACAACTTTTGGTCTTGCTAACAATGAAAAGTTTGTTTCGTCTTTTGGTACAAAAGTTTCTGTCAGCTTGTCATCTGGAATTGGTTCCAACAAACCTTTCTCGAAAAGAATGTTAACAGCTCTGACAATGTTACACTTACCTTTTCCGAACATAAGACTTTCGTTCAACATGAAGTGGTTGTGGACAATTACAATCTTCAACCATGGTAAGTCTTTGTCAACAACATAGTCGTCATGTGAAGAACCTTTAGCTGTAGGTATGTTGACTCGGATATTGACATTTGCCAACGGTGCAATTTTTGCCAATTGACCTCTGAGAATGTACCTTGTCTTCACACATGACTCAAGATACTTCATCTTCTCATCTGTAACAAGACCAGAGTTCCTGAGACATGTAAGAATACAAGGTTCATTGACAATTGTTTCAATTGAATTGTAAATTCCATACCTTGTCAAGTCAATGTCAGACTTATTTATGAACGGGAAGTATCCAGCATGTTGTCTGACTGCTTGAGGGTTCGGTTGGTACCATTCAAATTTTACACTTGCAATTCCTTCAATTGCATTCAAAATGTCTGAGTCGGAGTCAACCATTTGTTCTCTCTTTGTAGTCTTGAAAGCGTCAAGAAGTTGTGCGGCTGTTGTGACATTGCCATGTGCATAGTAAATATGACCATCTAAATCTGTTACGGTTAGTCTGAGATTGTATCCTTTCTTATTTCCGTCTTGTATGGCAGCAAGTACACCCATGAAGCCTTCTTTGTTCTTTCCTTCGTCAAAGTTTACTGTAAAGGTTCGACCAGATGTAATTTGACTTCTAACTTCACGATACTTTTCATATGCATATCTTGTTCTTTCCATGGGAGCATGTGCGTCTTCACCTTTTCCTTTTTTCCTTCTCAAAGGATGCAATTGTTCGTCATGTTTCCAGTAGAATCTGGCAAAGCCGTCGTGTCCTTCAACTTGAGGTTCACTAACATCGAAAGGCATGTCCATAAGACGTTCTTCTTCTAACCTCTCTAGTCTGTTTGGATAATTGGCACGTGCTGTTTCCAAATCCATTTCGTAGCGAAGACCAGACAATTTGTCATAGACTTTTATGGGTCTTCCCTTCCTATATTTAAAATTCTTTGAAACTCTCCAACCATATCTTTCTAACTCTGCTTTTATTCTAGCAGACCTTCTATCCATTCTATACGGGGGCATTTTTATAAAAATAAAAAAATGTTTTTTCTTTACTTTACATAACCGCCTGCTGCCAAAAGTCTTTGACGCCAACCCATACCAGCTAATGAAGGTTGACTTGGTTTAGTTTGGAAACTAAACTTTGGTTTTGGTTTATCTTCAGTTTTTGGTTTCTCTTCTTCTATCGGTTTTTCGTCACTTTTCGGTTCCTCTGACTTTACCTCACCTGCAGGAACAGTTGTGTCGTCAACATCTTCATAAATATCATATGCCATTTGTTTTTGTTTTCCTTTCAACTTTTTGTGTTTGTTGTAAAGTTTAGAATATTTCGACTCTAAGTCAATGAGATGTTCTATAATGAACTGTTGGTCGGTGAAGTAAACTTCCATCTGTTGTCTCATAAACTCCTTCAGACTTCAATATTTTATTTGTGAGGTCTGTTTCTTTTTTGAGATACTAGCCGTTCCATTTCTATGAAAAGTGACTTTGTAGTTAGGGTTTGTATTTCCAGACCTGGCACTTTCTATTATTGAATTTTTCTCTTCATCTGTAAGTTCTTTGACAGGTTTTGACAATGGTTCTGAACTTTTTGTTTGTGGTGTCAAATCTACCGTTTCAACTTCTTCGGTCATTTCATCTCAGTAAAAAATTTTAGTTTGGTTTGTTTTCAACTGGTTGTTGTTGTTTTTTAAGTCGGTCTAAAACTTCCTGAGGTATAGGAAGAACTTGACAAACACGTGGTTGTGTAACTGCTGGAAGCCGACAAATCCATCTTGAACCCATTTGTCTCAATGCTGTATTGTTCATTTCATCTCAGTAAAAAACTTTACATTCCCCACGTTTGAGGCGGTTGAGGTTGGTTATTGTTTACCCATTGTTGTGCATGGTTATATCCTCTGTTAAAGAATCTTTCACCTTGGTCCATATAGTGTCCTGCTTGGTTATAGTAGTCATTTGCTTTGTTATAATAGTTTCCTGCTTGTCTTCCTACATTGTCCATCCATCCTTGAACTTTTCCTCTTGTTTCAGGATTTGGAATAAGATTTGCTGCATCTCGTGCTACATCCCAACCTTTCTGTACAGTTTGTATAATAGGTTGTGCTTTCTCTTTAAGTATACCTAATGTACTCAAAATCTTCCTTCCAACTCCAAATACACCTCTGGCTATTGTTCCCACTGCGGGCAAAAATCTGGATGCAACTCCTGCTAATGCGCCAAATAAACCCATTTCTTATGGGTTAAAAAATGACGAATCCAAACAAGGACCCCTATGTTTCTAAAGCGACAAAGAAAGCACTCATGGTAAAAATCTTTAGTTCAACACCAAATGCTTGGTTTATGGATATCTTGGAAAACATTCCGAGGTATAGAGAAGATGGACCACCATACTGGCTAATATTTGTCGGTCAAAACACAAGATACTGTGAAGCCATACCATTACAGTCCAAAAATATTTTAGATATCTTAGCAGCTTTGACAATATTCGTTGACAAATACCATCCAACAAAACTGACATCTGACTGTGAAAGTTCTTTCAAATCAGACGATATTAAAAACTATCTGCGTTCAAAAAATGTAAACCAATATTTCATTGTCGACCAAAACCATTCTGCTCTTGGTGTCATTGACAGTTGTATAAAAATCTTAAGAGACTTAAATCAACCACAAGGTGGTGAGGTAGATGAAATGTCATATGACGACAAGTACAGACATTTCTCCATGGCAAAGATGAGACAAGTTTTAAATATTTACAATAGCCGTAAACAAAAAGGTTTGGGAAACCACTCCCCCGAAGAAATGAAAAACAACCCCGACTTAGAGAAAGACTATATATTTAATAGTTTAGTCAAAAGAGACAAACAAGAAAGAATGCCAGGCTTCAAACTTAAGAAAGGTGACAAAGTAAAAATAGAAATACCTAAACGCGACCCATATGAAAATACTATTGACTATGACAACAATGGGAACTCGACAGGTACTCACGTTCGTGTTCGTAAAAATAGAAGAAAGTATACAAGAGAATATTATGAAGTTTTAGGCAAACATGGCAAAATGTACAGACTGCAAGCAGAAGATAAAACGACTATTGTCAGACCTCGTTTCAAACTTGTCAAAGTTCAAGGTGGTATACTTTCAAAGACAGTTCCTAACAAATATAAGACAACTCCTGACGAATATGCTAAAGAAGTTGAAAATGACGACTAAGCATTTCTATACCATGCGTAAACTGTCATGTAAGGTGGCATGTAGTCTTTACTTTGTCCCGTTGTTTGCGTATATCCCGAAACGCGATGTGTATGGTTTCCATCTCCCTGAGTGTCACCCCAGAAACAATTTATAGCAAACTGAACGTCGTCTTTAACATCATATCCTTTACCTTTTTTCATTGCTGACCAATCCCAAAATTTATGCTTATGCCAACCTGCTTGAGATGTACTTAAATCTATGTAGTGACTGTGCGCAGGTAAATTTTCACCTGAAATCGTTTTACTTCCTCCTGTTTCCTTTGAAGAGTTTGCACAATACAAAAACCTGTCAACTATTTGAGTCCAAGTTCCAAAACCCAGAACTGTTTCTGGTCTGGTAGAGTTCATTGACGTATAAATAGAGCCTATAGGATATAATGTTTGAAGCATTTCTGTCTTTAACGTTTGAAGCTCTGTTTTGTCAGCTTTTTTATCTAACTCATCGTTAACATATGTTTTGTCAGCTTTTTTATCTAACTCATCGTTAACATATGTTTTGTCAGCTTTGTTGTCATATAAATCTTGAGCAGTGAATTTAACTTTGTTTTCATCCTCCATGACATAGACATTTCTACATCTAGTGTATTTCATCGTCGTTATGTCATCCTCCGATGTTAAACCTTGTGGAAAGTTAGGAGGTTTCCAATACAATGCATCCCCACCAGTTCCATCAGGTTCTTCAACCGTTCCTGCAATATTTTCTATACCAACAGTTGCGAAGAAATCGTGTGTATGAGTCTTTTTAGAATATTCTTTGTCAGCTCTTGTCACTTCACTTGACATTTTATTGTCAACATATGTTTTATCCACTTTGTCATCTAACATTGCTGGTAGTTCATCTACGTCATAGATGTTATGTGTATGGTGTTTTTGTGGGTATGTTCTATCTGTCCATGCGAGAATATAGTCTCTTGTTGCATCTACATACTCTTTGTCAGCTTTGTTGTCAATATCTGCCTTCAAAAGAAGTTCATCTATAGGTTTCTCGTTTAAAGTTCCTTTTGTTGGATTTATACAGACAGTATGGTTCTTATTGTCTTGAAACAGAAACTCATCTGTCATTGGGTTTAATGTCAGTTTTAAGTTTCCTTCTTTCAATGACTCAGATATCTTAGAATAGTTTGAAAAGTTTGTTGTGTTCTTATTTAGAGCTTGCACAATGAGTTGTCGGTTGTGTTGTATTTCTCTCATGGAAGCAATATCTTTCGACATTTTTATTCTAGATAAAATATGCTTCCAATAGAAAAAGAAAATTCAAGAGTTGCTACAACTAAACCATTAGATGAACTTTTTACTAATGTCGGTCAAAAGTTTGAGACAGAGACCGTAAAGCATGAAGGCTATCGTTTTGACTACCCATTAAGATGGCTAAGAGACCCATCTGTCACAAAAGCTATTGGCTTTCGTAGAATGAAGTTTGTGTCTGTAGAAGATAAAAGTTTTCCATTTATTGTAAGGTTTCATATAGATTATATATCTGAAGGGAAACGAAAAATGTGGGAAGAAATTGAGCTAATACAAGTTGACCTTTCATCTTCTCTACAGACTGCGTTAAAAAATATAGAAGATAAAATAAATTCATGTTATGCAAAATATGCTGATGAATATGCAAATACCGAGAGCACACTTTATGTGAGAATTGTATATGACAAACAAAATTCACAAGTGTCATTTCAAATCTACGAAGACAATCCAAAGAAAGACGAACAAATATATACAGAATTCACTGCAATGTCATGGTATTATTTGCAAAGAATGTTAAATCAGAAAGTCGAACTTCCTTTAGCAAATATTTACAGTCGATATGCAAGAGATGAACCATATTTATTTAAAGATGTTTTCGACCCAGCTGCTATTATTGTTCATGCTTCATTTTCTGGCGCCCAAAACTCTTTCTTATGCTTGGCAAATGACTTTTACGAAAAACCTACAAAGTTATATGAACCACCGAGTGGAAGTATTTCAGACTTTCAAGTATGGTTTACTACAGATGGAAGAAAAAGAATAATTCCATTATACCATGCGTTTTACTTAGAACTTAGTTTCATATACAACTACTATCGAACGGTAAAAATATAATTTTTTAATACGGTTGAGGTGTTGGATTTGGTTGCCAACTAGACTGTGGTGCAGGTTCAGGCTGTTGTATAACAGGAGCTTGTTCTTCTGGTTCAGGGTCTTTAGGTATAATACCAACGAACTGACCTACTCTTTTACCAATATTTTTGACACCGTTCCAAATTCCTCTTCCGACGGTTTTTATTCCATTCCATATACCTCTTCCAACATTTCGAAAGAAGTTTCCTATCTTACTGAAGAAACCCATTTTACTATATGTAAAAATCTAATGTCCGCCTAGTCTCTTACGTTTCCTGTTGAGTTCCATAGCATTCTTTAACTGGAGCTCATACATTCTGTTTCTCCTCTGGTAGAAAACATATTCTGGGTCAACTCCTGTGTTCGCGTCATCTGCATAAAGTTGTTTATATCCACTTCAGGGTTTGTATAAAACTCTTTCCATCTCATATTTGCATACCATGGTGGCAAACCTAACGCAGCGTCATTTGACATGGCAGTTTGCATTTGTACATCTGTTGGCACTTGACCATAGTTTGCCATTGCAGTTTGTATTCTAACTTCATTTGGAATATTCTCTGGGTTTGGTTGTCCAGGTTGCTGTGCATTCGCTAAGTTCTGTGCGTCCATTTAATATTAGATAAAAATATCTCTTACGAGTACATATGCTGAACATTTGCTGGTATTGGTTCATCTTCATATTCTCTGTACCTTTCTGCCACGTCAAATAAGTAAATGACACAATGGAAAAAACCTAAAACAAGTAGTCCTATTTCAAACCACATTTACTTACTAGTAAAATTTCTTTGTTATGACACTTTCTCCAGTTTATAGGACCTCTCTCATATTCTATCTTGTCATATATAAACTCATAGTCATGTATGTCCTCTAACCATCTCATGACACTTTCCAAACCACTTTTATCGGATGTAAAGTAAAAGCATGGATGGTTATGTAAAACGTCTAAAGTTTCTAAAGAGTCTCTCAAAGTCCAGTCTACTTGGTATTGAAAATCCCATGTGTTATAGAACGGCGGGTCCACTATAAAGAAAACATTTTCCTTGTCTTTATATTTTTCATACAACTCTGTCCAATGACATCTCACAAACTCTATACCCTCAATATATTTTTCTATGTTCTCTTTGAAAACATTTGTATAGTTAAGATATAAAACTTTTGACATAAGTGTTTCAATGTCATGAACTCTTATAGCACCACTATATAATAGTCTAGCAGATATACTATCCCAGTCAATATACTCTGCCTTTTTCAAAACCTCTCTGACAGTATTTTTCTTATCTAATGGTATACGTTCCATCTTACCTATAGGTATCTTTTCTTTTAACTCTTTCAATATTTTGTTTGTGTCTGGTATATGTTTGAGACGGTTCATATAGTTGTCGAAGTCATTGCATATAATCTTTGAGTCAGGAAATATTGTATGGCACAAATGAGATATATAGAAACTTCCACCGAACAAGTCTACAAATGTTAGACCATTCGGTAGTTTCTTAAGTTCTCTCAATAGAATATCTTTACATCTACTCTTATTTCCAAAGAAGGGTAACGGTGGTTTTGTAAAATTCATTTTATATATATAATAAAAATGTTTTTTCCTGAAAAGTGACAGAAAAGTGACAAAACATGTACGAAGAAGTCTTGAAAATTCAAGAGGGTAGAAAAGAGGTTAGAAAAGAGGTTATATCTAACCTTCTACCCTAAACATTATTTTTGTCTGATTTTACGAAGAAGTCTTGACAAAACATGAAAACATATATAATTTGTGAAAAGCTCCTGGAAGACCCGTATATAAGAACTTCATTTATACTAAACATCTTCGGGGCTAGAAGGGGCGCAGCCCCTGGAAGCCCCACTACCTTTTTTTTTTTTTTTTTTTTTTTTGTTAGAAATTAATGAATTTTGTTATAATTCTCCAGATTATATTTTAGAACATTTCGAAGAATTTTTGGAGGATTTCAAAGAAAAGAATAATTTAATAGACTAAAAAATTTATTATTTTTATTTATTGTGAATTTTAAATTGTCACTTTTTAAGTGTTACTCCCTATTGAAAGTGTCACTTTTTGGGTGTCACTTTTCGGGAATTCTTATATATTGGGTGTCGTTCTGTCCTTTCCGAGTACCTTCCAGATAGCGTCTATCTCTTCGAAGAAACGGTAGATGAGTCTGGCAAGGTCTCGGTTCTCTCTCTCGTAATTGCGCAAGGTTTCCGTGAAATCGTTCAGGCATTTCTCATTGGAAGCTTGGTTCATGAGGACATCGGCTTTGAGATTGGTCATCTCTGTCATAAGACTACTTTGGAGAGTCTTAATGGTGTTTGTCAGATGAGCTTTCAATTGGGCAATTTGAATTTGAATTGGGCGCTTGTCTGGCAACCTTGAAAGGACATCTGCCATTGTGTTCGGCTTCGGTGCTTGTTCGGACATCGAAAAAATGAAGTGGTTTGAGAATGACGGTTTTACTTCAAAAAGCGGGTTATGACAGTTAAGTCATACAACAAGTTTAAAATAATATCTTGCTCTTCTTCTGAACGTTTGTTGTCTCTTCCGATAAAAGTTTCGAACATGAGAACCAAAAAACGTTTTTTGAGGAACCGAAAGAGTTCAGGCAAATTTTCATATTCTGGATATGTTGGGAGCAGTTCAAAACATCTGAGCTGACTTTCGGACAAAATTGGGACAATGTCAGAAAATTCATCTTTGGTCGGACTGCTTGAAGGTAAGTCCCTTACATGTAAGTAGCTCTGGTAAAGTCTTCTCATTTCTGCTAACTTTTGGAGTATAGCTTCGCAGTTTAGAAGTTTTAATTTTAATTGTCTTATTCCACTCTTTACTTCTAAACGGTAAGTATCCATGAGGTCAAGAGTAGCTTTGGTAGCTTTAAGTGGAGCTATCTGTTCCTTGACTTGTGCAATTTTGGTTGCAATTGTGGTTTGAGCTCCTTCAAGTTCGCCGTCTATGTCGTTCTCAACGCCTTCAACCATGGCTTGAAACTCTTCATCGGTCCATTGAGTTTGGTGTGGGACGAATTTAACTTGCTTCATTCAAAAAATGAAAAAAAATGTTTTTACTCTAAACGTGCCATGTATATGGCTATAAGAAACTTACCAGAAGGCTTCTTCTTCACATGAGTCTTTGGCAACTTGAGAGTTCTTGTTGGAGTTGGGTCTGGAATTTCAATTCTCTCTCGAGCGCAACAACAGATGTCAGAATAACATTCCCCACTGTCTTTCTTGCCACCATAAACTGTGTATTGACAGAACTTGCATTTACAGGAAGACCGGTCAATACAAGGTTCACAGTTGAAATAGTTGTACTCATACCTGGTGAGTACGAGTGTGAGTAAAAACATAAAAAAGTGAGTTAAAATGAGATGTTTACTGAACTGGCTGAATGTCGCCTTCACAGGTTATGTAGAACAGCTGACCAGAGAAGTGAAGGAGACCCTTGAGAATTTGGTTCATTCTTGGGAAAGGGTTCTCTCTGTTTGGAAGTAGTATCCAAGGACGCTTGGCAAAGAACTTTATAATGGCTTCCTTCTTTGCTTGCTTTATGTCGTCGAAAGGAGTGTTTTCTGGTATTTGAATTGGAATTCCAGTCGAAGTCTCGAGATTCAAGGCAGCCCTTCCCGTTATCCAACCGTTAACAAGCTTGCCTTTTACATTCTGCCTGAGGAAGTCTTTAACAAGCTCGTTAATTTCAATTAGGTAAATTGCCTCGTCGGTAGGTTCGACCTCGACCATTGCTACTGTCAGAAAAAGTACTGCTACTGTCAGTAAAAGTACTGCTACTGTCAGTAAAAAGGAAAATTTGAGAGGGTTTTCGACGATAAAGTACTGCTACTGTCAGTAAAAGTACTGCTACTGTCAGAAAAAGTACTGCTACTGTCAGTAAAAGTACTGCTACTGTCAGTAAAAGTACTGCTAGTAGCAGAGATTTTTATCGTTGTGGTCCGACAGGACACAAACGGATGACTGACGTTCCTCTTCCTGAATGCCTTCCAAAGCCAGAAGAACCGAAAGCTGCAGAACCACAACAGTCTCCTCAGCAACCTCAGTTCCAGCAAGTACCTCCGAATTACTACCAATTTCCACCACAAGGCTTCCCGAACTACCCT